CAACGTAATAAGTAATGACATACGCCCAAGTTTTGCGTTACGTTTTATTGAAAAACTCACGCTTTCAAACATTTTTGCCTTTCGCAGCCTCATAGAGATCGCTATGTACGTGGTTCTATGATAGCGAGATATTGCTCCATGCAGATTCGATGTTGATGCCAAGCCCATGCAAGCATATGTGACATACGAATCAGGTAGAGACGAATGTAGTGCTTAGTTTATGTATTGGTTTTACAACTAACTAACAAAAGTAACATTATCAGCAAACTACCATCAAGGTGATACAGTTTTAATGATGCAAGTAGAGGTAGACTTTTCTACCTTTTACTCCATTAAAACAATATCTTCAAGCTCATTACAACTTCGCATACACAAAAGCGAAAGGCCAGCTTTTTCAAAAGTATTTCTTGTTTAAACATACGCTAAAAAGCTCTAAACCTGAATCCCCACATACAAGTTGTTTTCTTCCTTCATTGTTAACCAGTTCTTAGTTCTTATAATGTTCATATGGGATCCAGGCCTACTAACTCACACTATTGCATGCTGAAACATGATTTCCACTCTTTGAAAACACAACAAGTCTTTCCTGGTTATATATATATATAATCATGCAATATATCTGATATATATCTCACATTAGTATAAAAGGCCGAAAATGCCAATTATACGAATATGAGATATATTCTTTTGACAAAATATTTATACCTAAACACACGACGAAAATTTAGCTATGCTGGAGAGCTTTCGAGACGTCCTCTGTCTCTTTATCAACCCGATTCCGGTCTCGTCTTGAAGTTCTCTTGTCACGTGACTTGATGGGATAATCACGTGACAAGAGACAGTCATATACAGGTTTTAGTTATATGTTTTAGATATATTCTTTGTCATAATTACTATAATTACACAAAAGCTACTTGTTATCCTAACGCAAAATTATTTACAGATGAAGAAAAAGTAGTCTACATGTAATAGATGGACAAATTCTTTTCCCTCGCTTTTCCCTATTGGTCTCAAGACTAACCCTATCTGATAGCCACCGATTAGTTTGGCAGCTCCGGCTGTGTATAAATGTCCTATGAGCTGAATAGATAACAGATGAATGTATTAATAGATAAAAGTAGATGCAATCGTTACAGTCAAGTTGTGTTTCGTTCTGTTTACACAGGGAACCAATTCTTACAAAGTGTCACGGACAGGTCATTTCTTTAAAGGCTCTGATGAACCAAGAGTTTGCAGATGGTTTGAGGTGCACGATACTGCCAAGAAGGCGACTCTAATAGTACATCTCGGTTCATTTCCACTCTTTGAAAACACCACAAGTCTTTCCTGGTTAGATACGTAAATCAACTTAGATATATATTTTTTTTCTGCTTTATATGCTCCATACGAACTATAAGCCCCATTGCACACATTCACCTTCGTATGGTATTGATCATACTGAAGATACAAATTTAGTATGTATGTTCCACCAGTGGGGTTACTACCTTACTAAAATTCTCAAAGGACTACAGCCCTTGTAAGGGCATGTCCTGGCTGCACATGTATGTTACTTAAAGCTGAATCAATGCATAATAATCATAATAATCAATTCGCACTTTTTGGTTATGTTAAGGCACGTTTACACAACTCTAATTTACTTGCCCAGATACATGGTCATGGGCACGGCCACGGCAATGCTGATGACGTACATGACAAGGCAGAGCCTGTCCAGGACCTTGGCCAGCAGGGTGTAGTCAGACACCTCCTGCTCGTTCTTCATGGCCTCGGCCAGCTCCTCCATGTTACTGGACGGCGCGGGCGGCTGAGGGGCTGTCTCGCGGACATCAGCCGGGCTTTGCACGTCGACCACCGCCATGACATCAGCGGGAATGCGGTCGGTCCGCTCAGGCCAGGCCGGCTTCCTGCTGCTGGGACCAGTCTCTCCATCGTCGCTTGCAACCTTCTTCTCTGTCAGATCTCCGAGCAGTAGGCACCTTAACAAACACCACCAAGAAAAAAATGAGGTCGGTGTTTCTTTCTGATACACACGTTCACTCCCATATCAATAGGCATGTCCAAACGTTCAGATTACTTCATGTTTAAAGTAGAAGCAATGGATAAAATGTTAAAATGTTACCAAGGTTGATACTTTAAAAATCAGACTGAATCTACAAAGAATCATCATCTACAAAGAAATATACAAAATCTTCAAAGAAAAGAGCCTAAAATACATGCTAATTTGCAGCTTGGAAGAGTAACGGATGCAGAAAAAGTTTATAAAAGTATTAAGTCGCTAATTTGATTCCATCGTATAAAAATAGATAACGAATCTTTCCTGGTACGTTAAATTCATATCAGCCTAAACATGTAAAAGGGCCTAATAAACCTTATAACTTAAATAAAAACGAAACAACAATAAAGATGTATATGAGTTTCACTTAAAGGGTATTTGTCTATTTCTGTACATTTCTATTCGGTCTAACCTGAGCTAGTGTTACGAATAGTACATACTTTGCCATGTAACGGAGAAAGAAGGTCTTCGCCATTGGAGACAGGCTCCCCTGCCTGTCATGAATGGTGATGATGGCCATGGTGAAGAAGAGGAAAAGGCCCATCAGCGCCATGCACACGACGATCAGCGAGGCTGTAACAGCATCCGTGGTTAACAGTTATCGACATGTTCCGGGAATACCACGGTTAACAGTTACCCTAAGCAACCTAAGCACAAAATACTAATGAAATCCAATGAGGACTGTAAATCTGTTTTGCTAAGACTACACCCGCTCTCGAACCACTACTTATAGATGGACGGACACTAGCGACAGTTTTTCACATCAAATTACTGTGTGTGAAAATACAGATGATCACCATAGCAAACAGAAAACTGTTCCGTTATCATCGTTGTAAATGCCTATTAATTCAGAATTAGCCCTTGTCCTGCTGGCATTCCTGGCACAATATTTTTCAATATTTTCATGTCTTAATTAGATAAAAAAAAACAAAATTTTTTTTGCCCTGCAGTGGCATAGTTACTTCCGCATTCGTTGCGTTTCGCAGCGGTGTAATCCGTTGCACGAGAAATACCCCCAAATCGTACCTATGCAGGGTGTTATATAGATGGTACTGAATGTGCCGCGCAACATATGTTGCGCACAGCAGGACAAGGGTTAGTGTCTGCAAGAATATAAAGTTTTAGGTTTCAAGTTCCAAGAATTACCCATCGATTTTTGCTTACTTTTTTTTATCTTAACGGAGTCCGGCCTGGCCATGAGGAAGGTATCTAAGGGTTTACTTAATGTCGCTAAGATAAATTCTACGTACTTGGGTTGAAATGCACAAGTGGCAGAAAACCAGATGAATGGAATCAAGGACGTATTTTAGTTTCCAAGTAGTTTAAAATTCTAAACTAAGGAAAACATTTACAACATGGTCGCATCTATATGTTTACTCACCGAAAAATGGCAGCGCCCCCCTTGACAGGAAGCACATCCGTCACGAACACGAGAGACACGACCACGGAGAGTTGAATGGTCACTCCGAACGAGATCCGGTCCCCCCTGTCCAGTGGCATGACGAATGTGATGACCATCAGCGCCACCAGGATGACGCAGGGTCCAACAGTAGTGGCGATGTGGAACAGCGGGATCCTCTCCAGCTGAACAGTGAAGCACGCCTCCGTCTTGTCTTTTGCGAAGATCATGTCCTTCCGGTACCATTCGCCCTCCAGTTGTTGGTTAGACAGGACGCCACAGGGACTTCCATCTTGTTGGCATTCTGTGTTCGACAAATCATTGCAACAAACTATCAGCAAAATAGGTAACTTTTTCATGACAAGGGTAGCCAAAATGTATGCAGACAAAATGTATACTGACAGGAATCCGGTTTTCCTTAATTTTTACATTGAACATGGGAAAGAACATATATCAAAACCATAATATAATCACTGAAATATCATCGTCATTATTATCATCATTGGTAAACAGTGACCAAAATATTCCTGGAATATATTAGATATAGACAGTGACCGGGATGTTCACGGAATGTCAACCGTGACAAACAGTTGCCAGATCGCTCCGATAAAATATTATATTTAATTTACATCATTTTTTATTTATTGACTTATATCCATAAAATTATTTTAATATCGGCATCTTTTTTATAAAATACTTCCAAGTTCATACCGATGGTTGAAGAAAATGCAGCAAAGCAGATGTTGCATTCCATGGTGTCTGCAGGGAAGTAGAAGGGGTCCGCATCACACACGGTGGTGGTCAGGGTTTCTACCCTCCAGGTTACCTGGCCATTGCTACTGATCCAGACCGGAACGATTTTTGGTAGGCCTTGGTATAAAGGATTAGCACTGTGGAGTAATCAGAAGTTTTTTTACAAGTTAATTTACTGGTAAGATAACCATCATCTAGTGTCAAACTTATTAAACCATTCCTAGCATTGTATCCCAGTGTCAACAAAAATATTGTCGGTCATTTTGTTAGTTATATTTTAAGGTAATTGTGTAATGTTTGGCACTACAGAATCATTTTTATTTAACGGGTACTTTAAATGACATACAAGACTTAAAATCAGTGTAATGTTATTTTCATTAATTATCTTACAAGTAAAATGCTATTTTCTGCAGTTCAGGACATTTAATTTAAAAAACAACTGATTAGGCATGGTTCATTTTCGATTCAATGATAATAGTTTTAGAAGACACTACATACTTCCCCTTCAGAGTAAGTGTAGGGGTCCAGATGCTGCTGCCAGGGACGCTGATAGTCTCGATGTTGTCGTAGTACTTTGGATCCCAGCTCAACCGACTGTCCTGCCATGTCTGGAGTAACAAGAAACAAATTATTACTGTGTAGCTTACAGCAAAGAATTATACAGCAAAGTATAGCAAAATTATGATGATGATAGCAAATCACATAAACCTCCTAATAAAAACGAGACATGAATATATGAATGCGATATTATTCTAAGTGCACAGATATTTAATAACTATGTGGACTTACGAAATGAATGACGACAGAGGCAACCAGCTGCTCCTTCTTTTCCTCCTGAAAGAAAAGGTGAAGCATCGGTCAGTTATGTTTTGCTCCCTCCACGAACTGTCTATTTGTCATAAACCAACGAGGATTTGAAATGTGTTACAGATACTGAAACTCACCAAGTCGACGATCTGTTCTACAGATCCAGTAAAGCTGATGACGGGTCGGATGTGGTTCTCAATCCGAGTAGGGGTCTCTGCCTCGGTAGGGTTGTCAGTCTCAGCACGGTTCTCAGTGCCGGTAGGGTTCCCAGTGCCGGTAGGGTTCCCAGTGACGGTAGGGTTGTCAGTGTCGGTAGGGTTTTCAGTGTCGCTAGAGTTGTCAGTGTCGGTACGGTTCCCAGTGTCGCTAGGGTTCTCAGGCTGGGTACGGCTCTCAGGCCCAGATGCTAGGTTGCGATTGTTCACATCGAGCAGGTCGGCTTTCAGCCTATCCTCGAAATTCACTGAGGAAGAGACAATACATATCTATCGTTAGGAAGACATATTATTTCCATCTATTGCAGTGTGTTTCTAAATTGTTTATACCGGTCTACAGAACTGTATAAACAATTTAGAAACATACTGCAATAGATGGAAATTGAGTGTTAATGTAACTAAAACCAAAGTTCTTCTATTCGCGAAAGGAATGTCTAAATAGATTCTATTTATACGGAAAGGAAATTGAAGTTACCGACAGCTACACTTATCTCGGTATACCTCTCACGTCTTCGGGCAAATTTAAAACCGCCAGAAAATATTTAAAAACTAAAGCAATGAGAGCGCTATTCAAACTTAAATCCCTTTTGTTTTCTGAAACTAACATTTCAATTCAATTAGCAAAAAGCCTATTCAACAAATTTGTAAAGCCGATTTTTCTATATGGATCCAAATTAACATGTTTCGACCAAACATCTAAAACAATAAAACTTAATGTTTCTACGCGTATTTCAGAATCCACACCAAAAAAAAAATTTCTCCACTGTATTAGAGAAACTTGATATAGAGGAAAATATTCCTGCTTCGGTTAGAGAGAGTTTAAGCTCCACGTGTGCCCACACATATGTGATTCATTTTGAAAGAAGGACAGATAAGGACATGTTTTTTAATCTAGCGTCTCGTCTAAACTTAGAAAACGACAACTTTTCAATTGAAAATATACATCTTTCTCAATATATTCCATAATTTGATGCCATCGATATGAAGTTTCAAAATTTTTTACTTAGAGTTAATACAAAAGCATCAAATGATGGTGTTCGTGGAGAACTAGGAACCTTTCCAATAATAATAGATACTGAAATACAATTAATAGAATACTGGCATCGTTTTGTAAACTTGACCGAAGACACCTTACATCGTGAAGCATGCGATGTTTTATAATCTGGTAAACACGATTGGCTTAACCACGTAAACGACGTTCTGAATTACAATGGTCTTGGACAATTCTGGACGAACCCGGGTCATACCAAGTGGATACGATAACCAATCAATTACGATCCCGCCTTCAAGATATATACATACGAAAATGGTATAACTCTATTAGTAAAAACGCAAAACTTTCTGTTTATACCGCATTAAAGGAAAATTATGGACAAAAACAATACCTCTCAAGTATACACAATCTAGATATCCGAAAAACGATCACAAAATTAAGAATTAGTTGTAATAAATTAAACATAGAAATGGGTCGATACAAGAAAATACCAAATGACCAAAGGTACTGTCCATTTTGTCCAAACAAGATTGAAAATGACCACCATTTTATAATGGATTGTACACTCTACAATGATAAGCGCCTATTTCTGTTCACCTTTCTTTCCGCTTGTTCAATTGATTTCAATACGTGAGATCCTATAGATAAATGCAACTACATTCTCAGGGGAGATAACCAATACAGTGTTCAAATAGGAAAATACATTAAAGAATGTTTCGATCTTAGAGAACACATGTTAGAGAATAGTTAACCTGTATTGTTACATCATACATATACTCTTTACGTAAGATAACGTTATCCACACATGTATTTAGCTTTGTTAGATCTTTAGTTAAGTTGTAGAAGACCATACAAAAGTCTCTGTACTTTTTTGTTGTGTCAATAAAGAATCTATATCAACAGATTTTTTAACTTTTGAGATTGATCATGATGGTATATTTTGGCTTTACATTTTATATTAAAAGAACTCTAATAAAACTTTATAAGTTTGAATGTTGTTCATGCGTTCGATGTGTTTTAAATTAAAAATCCTTTTGTGAATTATGACTAATAGTATTTGTTTATTTAGGACCTTAACAAACAAAGAATCCTAAAAAGACACACATTTTCTCGGGAGCAAATGCAGCAAATGGCTTCACCACATCCCGCGTACCAAAAATGGATCTGCCCCCCTCCCCACACACAGCCATTTCCAATACTCAAAGTTACGGTCATTCTTGGAAGAATCATATTATGTAGTTACAAGTGGGCCCATGTATTTGCATGTTGCAGGTACATAAAATTGCACCAGACATTATACCAAATCTTAACAGATAACCCCCATAATCATAGGAAACAATGTCAATAAAGGTCAATGACCTTACCTACCACACCGCTACAGTTCATGTATCTGTAGCTTAATTGGTTGAAAGAATTTTTAAACCAAATTTAAAAAAAAAATGTTTAAAAAATAGCCAGGTATATAAAAATATAGGTTATGTGACATATTTCCATTAATTTATAAATTAGTTCCCTCCTTTTTCCTGGCCAAAAAGACAAGTATGTGCCACCACGCAGGTCTTTTTTAATTATTTAGTGAATAGCCAAATTGGAACCACATCTACAAACATGGCCACATCTGCTACTGCCTTTATGCTCATATTTGGACATGGAGCCCCTGCCCCCGTGCCCAAATATGGTAACACTCTAAATATGGTAAAACATACTGCTATTATAGTACATTACCAATTACACAGCCAAGACGTCCAAATTAAACCATTCTAAAAGCCTTATTATGAATATGACTAAAAAAAACCTTTGGGGGGGGGTGGCCGGTGATAAATAAAGATATTGAATTCATTTGAAGACTTGGCATGAAGAGGAGAAGAAAAAGTAGGAACATGAGGAAACCAATATATCTTCACTGCATCCCTACATGGTGAAACCATAATAAATAAAACATGACAGTGCAAAGGAGGTAGAAAGCTTAACTTCCTCGCTCTTAATCAATGTACATAACAATTGGAAGAGTATTTAAAATAAAATATTTTTAATAGGTTTGGCTTACTTATTCTTCTAAACTGCATCAAATTAAATTGTGCAAGTGTAGAAAATGCAGGCGTACTCAGACCTAATACTAGAGTTCCACGATCTCATACCTTCGCCAAATGATGTTAGCCTTTATGAATAAGAAATATACTAATCACCCTGATTATGCAAATAGGATCCTCAATTGCATGAATTATATCAGTCTGTTGATCATATTCTCCACCAAAAGACAGTCTTATCTTAACAAAGAATGCCATTTTCTCATAAATTATGCAAATGTGGTCCTTATTTGAATAAGTTATGTTTAATTATGTTCACCTTCACTTAACTTTCAAACACCCCAAGTATGAAATCCCAGGCAGTTACCACTACACAATCATAACATTTTCTCATTAATTATGCAAATTAAGTCTTCATTTGCATAATCAATATTTGCCTGTGTTTCTCTCGTTCTTAATAACATATGTTACAAGCTTGAACTTCCTATCTTGGAATGCAGCTGATTTATAGAATTTCCTCATTAATTATGCAAATTACATCAATATTCACATAATTGTAATATCATTATGTCAAGCATCACTTCAGCTACCTACATACCAAAAATCACGATGATCCATCAATCGGTTCTTGAGTTATCCTCTTTTAAACATTTGTCCTTTAAACCCCCCTGCAGTTCTAGAGCAAGCCGCTAGGGAGCCTATACTCACGTCACTTCTTCCCCAGCACAAGAGCTACCTACCATCCAAATTTCATTACCATAGCATGTCTGGATCTTGAGATATCAAAACCGGAAGTTCAGCTGCAGTACCATAACAAGCCGCTAGGGGGTCCAAAATCTAATCATTTCGAGGTCTCATCAAGACCTACCCATCTACCAAGTATCAAGACAATCCATCAAGGCCTTCTCAAGTTATCGTGTTGACAGCACACACACACACACACACACACACACACATACACGAACGCCCCTGAAAACATAACCTTCTTGGCGAAGGTAACTAGTAATAGTCATTCACCTGAACAACTGGGCTTGTCAACCTGCCAGAAGCCTCCTTCGACGCATCTTACTTCGGTAGGATACCCGGGCTTTATGTAGTACCCCTCGTTGCAGGTGAAGGCGATCCTTTCTCCCACGTAGTAGAACCTCTTCATAGGGCTTCTATTGCCGTAGTCAGGAGGACCGATGTCCCAGCAGCCTCTCGTACCTGAGTTAGCATAGGCAATGGTAAGGTAAAGCAATCATTATTATGGAGAAAAGGAGCAGACTTGAACTCCGTATAAAAAAGAGACCAAAGATTTGGCCTGGATCAGAACAACACAGAGTTACCAGCTTCACAAAACATCTCTAGATCACTCCTACGTATTTTGTTCTTGCATAAAAATAGTGTAAAGCACAGACACAAGTGAGAGACCGAGAGGAATGCCTGTGACTTTGTTAGCTCTATACTACTAATGAGTGAATATCGTCAGATTAGAGTTGTCTAGTATTTCAATATAAAATTTCTGAGAACCACGGACTGAGAGTTTTTGAGAATCTCGGGTGTGGTCTCGGGAACAAGGTATGGGTCTTACTGCAGGAAGCGACGTCGCATTCCTGCTGGCTGCCATCTTCCACCAGACAAAATGGCCGCCCCAGACCGGTAGGGTTACGGCAGTAGTTGTTATCTATGTTGGCCCAGGGGTACGCGGCTGTGTAGAACCCTTCCTGCGCAGCGGACCACTTCACACACTCTGCCCCGGACTTGGCTGTACTCCGTGTGCCGCGGTAGTTCATGCCGCCACCGTGGTAGCAAACTGAGGAGGAACAAACGGCCAAAAATCAGCAATTTATCTTATAAGTAAACAAATAAATGTACCTCTAAATGCATGATTGTTCTTAAATACCAGGGAATGGAAACATTGGAATGACATGCCAATTACAATGCTACAGCCAGCGGAAAGTCATGAGTCTATTTCTCTTCTTACCTTCGCCGTTTCTTGTCGCTGGTTCGGGGTTCCAACAGCCGTGCTGTGGTGGTGGAAACAAGTCACAGGTAGGGAACCGCTTCTTCATAGAGGTATCAGCCATGCTGAGGACTTCCTCACACCACGAACGGCACGGTAGCAGTGGTTTGTTCCTAAATACACAGGCAGATTTAGGAATATCAACATAAGGTTTTCTTACTTTTAAAACACACTAAAAAGAAAATGCAATTTAAGCACGAACGTTTACGTTTCATTTGAATATGAACGAACTTATTGCTAACCATAACTGTGGAATAATAAAACTTACCAATACTAAAAAGTAGCGTTTAAAACACGCCTCGGCGACGTGATTCTCTTTTGATGTAAGTGATGATCATGGGGTCTGTTTTGGTTATTGTGTG